GCGTGTATCCACTAGCTGGTAGATTTCTTCCTTCCTTATCATTGGTTTTTTGTTGTAACATGCCTTCAAGTTGCCTGCAACTCATAGCAACCCTAAGTACAACAGCTCTGAAGCGTGCCCTGTCCAGAGCCAGTTTCCAACACACCTGCACCCATTGCTCCAGTTTCTGTATCATTCCATCTCATCCTGGGTCTTCCTTTCTTTGACTTTCCTCCACCTTTCTGAGCATGCTGTTTTCTCCAAGGACTGGTACCTCTTGGTCATGTGCCCAAAGTATATGAGACAGAGCTTCATAATCCTAGCCCCCAAGGAGAAATTTGGCAATATTGGCACATTGCGTATCATTATGCTTCACTTCCATCTTCTTTTGATGCTTCCTACCTCATTCTAGATTTTATCCAGAGAATGCTTCAGTATTATGACTCAATACTTGCATTTGTTCTCCAATTCTTTCAGCCTAAGAAATACTAAGCATATTCTTCCCTTGATTTTCTAACTCCAACTCTTTGCACATTTCATTATAATATTTTGCTTTATCTTCCTGAGCTGCCCTTTAAACCATTCTGTTCGGCTCTATAACTTCAACATTTCTTCCATTTGCTTTTGCCTTTCCACACTAGTGCAAGTTTCAAAGTCTATTCTGACATCTATTTTGCTCTTTTCTTCCTTTCATGTCTTTGTAATGACCTTTTCTTCCTTCTCAGATGATAAGTTTATTTCATGGATGATCTCTGCAACAAAAAGGCATTCAAATAGTAGATGATTTTTTTTATTGACCAACATAAATGTCCTGAGACTCCATTCCTTCATAAGACATTCAGAGGGATGTCCCCAGAATAATATGGGATTGAGGGCCCAGAAGATCCTCTCCCGTAGGCACCAGTACTTTGATTCCCATAAATAGAATCAGGTGTTTACCAAGTGTCAGTACTGTTTGCTCCCTATTAAGTTTACTCCTGTTGTATTTCTTAAAATAATCATTAGTTAATATTTTGTAGTTCATTGAAATAAATAATTTAATAAAAGCTTTTGTTTCTAAGACACCATCTTTCATGTTCTAGGAAGAACTTTGTGAGTTACTAAAAAAATCACTATTTAGAGCAAAGGAGGTATAAATTGAGGTGGACGATAACATTTCATTTTAGTCTCTAATTTAATGACACAATTCTTGTGATGAATGAGGTTATTTTAATAATAAACTCAAATCCATTGCTATCAAGTCATAACTGGCTCATAGCCAGTTAAGTTACATAGGATTTCCAGAGCCTGATAAGTTACATAGAAGGAGATCGCCCATCCTTCATCCATGGAGTCACTGGTGAATTTGAACTGCCTGCCTTTGGGTTTGCAAAGCAACGCCCAACCAACTGTGCTTTTCTTGTTGTTGTTGTTGTGTGCCATTGAGTCAGAACCAACGCATGTCCGATCCTCTAGTGGGGTTTTCAGAGGCTGTTAATTGCATGAGATGAGATTGCCCACTCTTCTGCAGATCAGTTGGTCAGTATGTACCATGTGTCTGATCTTACAGCACAGTTTCTTACCACTTGGCGACCAGAGCTCTTTCTGTTATTTTTATTACTGTGAAACATCAAGTCAGAACCAATGGATAACTGACCCTCTCATGAGTTTGAGGAGGCAGTTAATCTTGCAGGAAGGGATTGCCCATCCTTCTCCCATGGAGCAGCTGATGGATTCAAACTGTGTCCCTTAGGGATGGCAGCACAGCTTATTTTAACAAAGATGTACTAAGTTTTAAACAGCAGAGCTCTATGCAGAAATAAGATTTTTTTTTTACATACATCACAAGTTGGTAAATTTTGAGTTAAATCTTTTAGTTGTTGTTATGTGCCATCGAGTCACCTGAAACTCATAGCAACCTTGTGTACAACAGTCCTAAAATATGCTCTATCCTGTGTCAATCTTACTGTCTCTGATACACCTACCCCCATTACCCCATCACTGAATCAGTCTATCTCATCGAGGGAGGGTATTGCTCTCCTGCACTGTCCCTCCACCCTCCCAAGAATGACGTCCCTCTCCACGGACTGATCCAAAGTATGTCAGATGGAGCTTCAGAATCCTTGCCTCCAAGGAGTAGCCTGGCTTCAACTTCTCCAGGACAAACTTGTTTGTTCTCCTAGCAGTCCATGGTATACTCAATACTCTTCTCCAGCACCACAGATCAAAGGCATCAAGTCTTACATATAAGTAATTTTTTGCTAATCTTCGTTTAACACTGGTATCGTTGCTTAACAATCAACAACTACTTCAGACTCCTCAGACTGAAGGGTTTCCTTTTTCTTTGATTTATTTCAAGCTTTATCTTTTACTTTTTCTTGGACATAGGAACAGATGTTGTTGCTAATATCAGTTCAAGAATAATTTGGACACATGTGCCTGGATATATTTTAAAAAACAAAACACACAACAAACAGAAAACCTTGTTCTTGCCAGTAGCATTGGTTCACTTTCATACGTGGGTTGGCCACACACGCAATGTTAGTTGAAAATCCTCAAGCGAGTTTTCATTTGAGAGTATTGTATAGTAGTGTCAAGCTGAGAATGCAATAGTTGTTTTTACTACCTATGTAGGATATTAAGTTCAGCTCTTCTCTGATGCTTCTTTACATTAGTAATGTTCTATGTTCCATTTAGAGAAAATGTATCACCATATCTAAGTTCCTTGAACCCCAGAGTATGATTAGACAATGTATTTACATTATGGTCTGTTAAATTGTAGAAGGAACATGATAAAAGTTTTCAAATATCACTTTCTTTTCATACCCATTTCCCATTTGCTTTTTAGATCATTCCTTGGCGAACATTCCTTTTTTGTCATTTATTAAATGTCAGCTGTAGTGCATATATAAAGTATATTGGCCTAAAGCCAGTAGGCTCACCGATTTATATTAGCTTATTAAGAAAAATTAAATAAAATTAAAGTTGTTTCAAAGAAAAATGGAGGCTAATGATGGGGCAGCCCATTAATGGCCTGATAACTCATTCCTCCCTTGCTCTGTTCATAGTTATGTCATTTTGTGCTGTTGCCAAATTCTGAAAGGAAATATAAAGAAAAATTAAAACTCTCTTTCACATAGCAAACATTTATTGAGTATCTCTTCTTGGATCCTGCACCAGAAATGCAAAGACAAGGAGAATGGTTTGTTTTGCAAGCCACTTAAACGGTCTAATGCAATAATTTTCAAACCTGAAACACAAACCAGAGCTGCTGTGTCTGAAACTTTACTGGAAGGAATGACTCTTCTTAAAGGCACATGTTGGTGCAATGTCCGCCACAAGAAATTTATCCTAAAGAAATAACTAGGAAGAGGCAAAAATATGCATTGATCTTTCAGAGTCATAATCTTAATTTTCTTTTCACTAGATTAATGCATTGTTTACCAGTTGCTTCAGCAAATATTTATTGACACCTGCTTCTTTGGAGAGGATATCATGCATGGGAGGGTGGAGGGACAGCGCAAGACAGGAAGACCCTCAAAGGTGGATTGATTCAGTTACTGGGGAAATGGGGTTAGGTGTGTAAAAGACAGTAAGTTTGGCTCAGGATAGAGCTGGGTGTAGGGCTGTTGTACGTAGGGTCACTATGCGTCGTAGGTGACTTGATGGCACATAATAGTAAAAACAACTCTCACTGCAAAAGATGGAAAGAAAAAGAGCAAATCCCACAATGAGATGGATTGACACAGTGACTGCAGCAATAGCCTCAGAAGTATCAGAGATGGTAAGAATGGCAGGATAGGGCAGGGTTCAGATATCTTGTTCCTTTCGTCACTATGAGTCATAACTGACTCAAAAGTACCTACTAACAACTCTCATTGGCAAAAGGCATCATGGTGGTAGAGGGTCAGAGAAAGAGGAGAGACCCTTAACAATATGGATTGACACTGACTACAACATTGGGCTTGAACATAGCAGAGGGCAAAGTGATGACAACAAGATGGGACAAGAGTCTGATCTGTTTTTTGTTGGGTCACTGTTAATCAGTCCACTAAAAAACACCTAACATAAAACCTCCCATTCATGATAAAGAATTAAACTCTTAGTTGTTTCTTACTACTTAGTTACCTTTTTGATAGTTTGCTGGACCAGTTCATTGTTTTTTTTTTCTTCCTCCTTTTTCTTTAATATCCTATGCAGCGTATAGGTTAATTACATTAAGGCAATCGTTCTATCTTTGAGACCTGTCATTGTCTTAGCATTCACTTCTTTTCTTAAATTACCTCCAAGTAAGTGCAATAACTTTGGAAGAAAAGTGAAACAAGTCTGCTGTAAACCATGGGTTAATACTTCGTTGGGTTGAGAGTCTCCCAATTCAGTGTCTCAGAACAGATCAAAAGGTTGCCCATTTCTCTATTTTTAAGTAGAGCTTTACATTGTTTTTAGAGGATAGTATATTATATAAGACTGACTTGAAGAGGTTCAAAACTGTTATTATCCATTTTCTGTGTGGTATTTAAGGCATTCTGGTGGCATAGTGAGTTATGTGTTGGGATTCTAATGGGAAAAATTGGCAGTTCAAATCCACCAGCTACAATACAAGAGTTGGAAACCCTACAGAGGCTGAGTCCAGCTCCGTGGCAGTGGGGCTACAGGAGTTAGCTAGTATTTGGACTGCTATTCAGCAGCTTTTATTGCTTGTATTTTCATTAAAAAGGAAAGAGTTAATTATTTTTTTCTTTTTAGAAAGTAATTCAACTTCTGAATGGAAGTGTTATGAATTACATATGAATAAAATAATCTGAAACTTAACAAGACATTTTCCTTTCTATCATTTTGCCTGTAAGGTTTTTGGGTTTTTTTTTTTCATTCTTAGTGACCAGCTTATAAAATAATAACTCATTTGATTTATGAACAGCATATTGGTTGTCAAAGAAATACTCATTTAGGTCTTCTGCTGCTTTATTTCCCAGACAATAGCATTTCAGAATTCCTTTCGTTTCCAAAACAACAATGGTAATTTAGCATATGTTTCCATTTAGGGTCTCTCCCCTTCAAAAGTCCGAAGTTGTCGAGATGGTTAAGAAACAAGTTAAAGTCATCACACTTGCGATCGGTGATGGAGCGAATGACGTCAGCATGATACAGACCGCGCATGTTGGTGTGGGCATAAGTGGCAATGAAGGTCTCCAGGCAGCTAATTCATCTGACTACTCTATAGCTCAGGTAAAGCAGCACTTCCAAAAGACCCACTGTTTGTTTCACTCAGCATCTTGAAATACAAGAGTGATTTTTTAAATTTTTTTTTTCAGTTCAAGTATTTGAAGAATTTATTGATGGTCCATGGTGCCTGGAACTATAACAGAGTCTCCAAGTGCATCTTATACTGCTTCTACAAGAATATCGTCCTCTATATTATTGAGGTAACAGCAGATGAAATTAAAAATCCTTACCACTTAACATACATTGTTGTTTAAAAAAAAAGTACATTGTTGTTGTTATGTGCTGTCGAGTCACTTGTGACTCATAGTATAACAGCCCTAAACTGTGCTCTGTCCTGTGCCAATCACACTGTCTCTGACACACCCATCCCGATTACCCCAGTCACTGAATCAGTCCACCTTATAGAGGGTCTTCCCCACCTGCGCTGTCCCTCCACCCTACCAAGCATGGAGGAGCCTCTGAATCCTTGCCTCCCATGAGCCACCCGGTTTAACCCTTTCCGGGATGAATGTGTTTGTTTTCCCAGCAGTCCATGGTACCCTCAACACTTTTCCCCAGCACCACAGCTCAAAGGCATCAGTTCTTTTTCTATCTCCCTCAGTCACTGTCCAATTCTCTGATGCATAACAAGTGATAGCAAAGACCATGTACATAGTTGGGTAAATATGACATTTTTTTTCGCTGCTTTAATTAATACACTTTAGCCCAGTTTCTTTTTATTATGTTAATTTTCTTTTACTATTGTGTGTGTGTGTGTGTGTGTGTGTGTGTGTGTGTGTACCAGCAAATTGGATCTGACTAGTACAGGAGGAAATTGCCCCTCCTTCTCCAGCAGAGCATCTGGTGGATTTGAACTGCATGCCTCTGGGATTGCAGTTCAGCTTATTGCCACCAGGCCACCAGATTCTGAGGCTTTATCTGACATACTTTTGACATGTTATAAGAAGGGACCAGTCCTTGGATAGGGACATCATGCTTGGGAGGGTGGAGGGACAGCACAGGAGAGGAAGACCGTCTATGAGGTGGATTGATTCAGTCACTGGGGTAATCGGGTGTATCGGAGACAGTGTGATTGGCACAGGACAGAGCAGAGTTTAGGGTTGTTGTACATAGGCTCGCTGTGAGTCACAAGCAACTCGACAGCACATAACAACAAAAGCAAATGTGTTGAGAAAAAAAAGTTTATCAGTTATGGGGAGTAATAATGTTTAAATTCTGACTGAACATTCTGTATTGCTTTGGTAGGCAGTGTTGAATTGCAGTTGCTACTGAAGTACAGATAGTCACCTGGTTACAAACTAGGTGGTTCTAACTGTATTGTGATGAATGTGTAGATATGTCAAAACAGGTGGACACCATTTTATTTATCTTTAAATGCTTTATATGCCTTTTAATGATTTAAAGTTTTACATATAGCAGGTAAAGGTGATTGTGATGGATGTATTCTTGCAAGTCAAGTTTGATTTATGCATTTAAATGTGAGGACAAATTTGCTTAACATTAAAGAGTAAATAGAAGTTGTATGTATATAAGTCAGACTTTCAGAACCTGAGAACTGCCTGTTTTCCATGTTACAATGACTACAAATTCTGCAGCATTTTTTACATAGCTCAGAAACACTCAAAAGAAAACAATAAACTTCCAAAGACAATATACATATGGGAAAGTATTTCAAGAGAAAATCAAGTGCATAACACACCCAAAACTAAAGGTAATGGTCAGGAAAGAGATTTATACCTTTGCTAGTATTGATCATGTACTTCTTAGGTTTTAAAAATTAGATTTACATTATGTCAAGGTATCCTTTGCTGGTTTAATGTCTGTGTTTTGTGAATAGTTAGAGTTTAGATATAAATAATTCATCTAAAAATTACAGAATATTAACTCAGTGATACTTAACAACACACCACCACATCTATGGACAGAAATTGAAAATGCATGTGAAAGTTGAGTAGGGAATAAGGAAGACTAAAGAAGAATTGGTATCTTTGAGTTATGATATTGGTGAATAAAATTGAAAATATTGCAGATTGCCAAAAGAACAAACCAATTTGTCTGGCTAACAGTGCAGCTTGAATGTGTTTTAGGATCATGTATATCTTGTGCTAGCTAGTTAGATGCCTAGCCCCTCCTTTGACCTTCTTGCCAGAACAGATGTTGCGGGCTTTTGGCATCTTCGAATACCTGAAAACATGGGATGGGTCTGCGGGGTGTGATGGCTGTCCTCTAAGGAGAAAAATGGAGTTGCTTTCATAGTTAAAAAAGTCATTGCTAGATCCGTCTTGAAGTACAATATTGTCAGTGACAGGATAGTATCTATAAGCATACAAGGAAGTC